AACTGAAGTTGTAAGATCACTCCCCAATCCACCTCAACCATCAGTAGCAATATAAATCTATTCAACAGCTCTCAACAATACCATTCACTTATAAGGCCCCTTTCACACACAATGTCCCAGATGTCTTAACAATTATGTTAAGCATTGAACAAGGAGAGTTAAAGGATGGTGACCAAAAGCAAGGTCAGAAATAATAATAATGATAATCATTGCATTCGATATAGCGCCTTGTCATGTCTTTGAGACGTCTCAAAGTGCTTCACAGAATATACTGTAAAGTGAATTGACTGTATTTTGTAGGTGAAATGTGGCAGCCAATTAAGCCCAGCAGCGTCCCACAAACTATCGTAGATTGAATGCCCACATTATTTTTTTAAAAAGGGAATATTACCCCTGGAAAAGCAATTTGCCAATCGATGAATAACTGGGTTCCTATTTACTGCTAGATAAACAGAGGTGCGTGGAGTAAATATGTTTTAAAGAATGTTTGGAAGCCACAGAGAGAAAATGAGGCAAAGAGGTTTTGGAAGAGAGAAGAGCACAGTGTTTGAAGGCTTGTCCACCAATGGTGGGATTTAGAAAGTGAAGAATGGTATTTGGCCAGTCAGAAGAACAGAAGTATAGACAAGAGTGTATGGTTAGAGAAGATCGCACAGGTAGAGAGGGGTGAGACACCAAAGGGATTTGAAGTTTCAGGGCAAGGATCCCTGAAATACTCTCTACCTATGCCAGTGGAAACTGGCAACAACATGAGTGATAGATGTGCTGGGAATTGAACCCAGGTGTCTTGCTTGTGAGATGAGTGTTCTAACCACTGTGTACAGGACTCCTCAGGTAATTAAACCTAAATGAGTAGGTTGATGGAGTCAGAGCTTGAGATCAGAAAATATTTGCGAGAACCGAACAAGAAGGTTTACGTTTTGTTCCCAAAGGAAGTTAAGATTCATTCAGTACTTGGTGACTGACAGTCAATCGAGCAACAACAACAACAAGATTTCATTTATAGAGCGTCTTTCACGTCGGGAGGCCATCCCAAGGCGCTGGACAGTTGGGTCGGGACCCGAGCAGGGGGGAAATGGTCAGGGTGAGGGAAGGGAGGGAGCGAGGAGGGGGTAGAGAGTCGCGAGGGGAGCTGAAGGCACGGTTGAAGAGAAAGGTCTTGAGACCGGCCTTAAAGGAGGAAAGGGAGGAAGCAAGGCGAAGGCACTGGGGAATGGAGTTCCAGAGCCGAACTGTCTTGGAATCGAGGAGGGAAGCAGACAAGCAGAGGCGGGTGTCATCGATATACATGTGAACACTGACCCCCATACCTGCAGATGATGCCACCCTGGGGAAGCATATTGGTAAGGAATAAAATAATAATCATAATAATCCTTACATTTGATATAGTGCCTTTGATGTCCAGAGGATTTTTCAACGCTCTTCACAGGATATACTGTGAACTGAGTGTAGTGACGGTTCATTTTGGTAGGTAAACTTGGCAGCCAAGTTGGAACAGCACAAGGTACAGAATTGAGAATAGGATTGCCTTTGCAATGTTATTAAAGAGACAGTCACATCATTGTCTGATGAAGAAACCAAGCAAGGCTGAATAGCCTTATGGTGGGAGTGGTGTTTAAAGTGGATTATATTTGTGGATTGAGGATTATCAATATGAAAGCATTTCCCCTGGAGACAGAGTAGTGAGGTAAATCAATGATTGCCATAGTCTGTGGAAGCAGTGGGCTTGAATGAGAATGTGGAACTCACTGCCAGAAGCCGTGGTTCAAAAAGAAAACATTAATGTAATGTATATAAGAGGAAATTCTATGCATAGATGCTGGAGAAGGGAACAGAGTGGGGTCATGGAGTGGGGGAGGTTGGGGAAGGGAATTCGGGTGGATGGAACCTCATAAACACAGGCATAGATGAGTTGAGCTAAATGGCCCCTTTTTGTGTATATCACTCAGTCATTTGATGTTGTACATGATAAGGTCAAATAGCCTTTTCTCATTCTGTGTTTTCTTATGTTATCTAGGTTCTAGAAATTCTAATCCAAGAACAAATTTCTTTGGAAGGTCATTATATATTTACTAGAATTCAATTTTACAATAGTATTCTGTCAACCCACACTTCTTGAGCAAATAAAACATGCAGTTCAAGCGTTTAAACACTAGCACAATCCAGGTCCAAATAGAAGGGAACGTTTAATGAAACACAAAACTATTCCGTCTCTGTACAGTTTGGTTTGTTTTTCAATTTTCTTGCTGAATTTTTCTGTGGCAGCCAAATCAAAATAACACATTTCAAAACATCAGTCAATAACTCTTCAATACTGTGCCATTTCTTCATAAAACACTGACTGACTCACTGCAGTTCACAAATATTTATACTGTAACATTCTCTACTGTCAGCAAATGCATTCACCGAATCAGTCAAAAATATAATAATAATCCTTGCATCTGGCATAGTGCCTTTAATGTCTTAAAGTGCTTTGATGGATTTACTGTAAAGTGTAGTGACTGTATTTTGGAGTGGATCCCTGGCATCCAATTTACACACAACATGGGAAGTATAACACTTTTTTTTCTTTTCTATTTTCTGAGCACAGAAGGAGGCCATTCAGTCTATCTTGTCGGTGCCAGCTCTTTGAAAAGAGCTATCCAAATCAATCCCACTCCTCTGCTCTTTCCCGATAACCCTGCAAACTTGTCCTCCCCAAATAATGATCTACTTCTCTCTAAAAAGTTGTTATCGAATCGGCTTCCACCAACCTTTCAGGCAATGCATTCCAGATCTGAACAACATCAAGATTACATTTGTATGGCGCCTTTCACATAACAACTCACTGTGTACGCAACCTTGGCATCAGATTCGACCCCCAATTGTCCTTCCTCCGCCACATCCGGTCTCTCACCAGCACCGCTTTCTTCCACCCCCGATGCATCGCCCGTCTCCGCAAATACCTCTCTCCAAAGGCCGCTGAAATCCTGATCCATGCCTTTGTCACCCCAAGGCTGGACTACTCTAACGCCCTCCTCGCCGGTCTCCCATCCACCATCATCCATAAAATCCAAATCATCCAAAACTCTACCGCCCGCATTCTCACCCGCACCAAACTACGTTCCCCGATTACCCCAGTCCTTGCCAGACTGCACTGGCTGCCTACCCCAGAGAGGATCGATTTCAAGATCCTCACGTTTGTATTCAAACCCCTCCACTCCTCTGCACCCCCCTGCCTCTCTGACCTCCTCTCCTCAAAACAGTACCCGTTGCCTTCGTTCCTCCTCCTCATCCTCCGAGGCCTCCGCTCCATCCTCGGCAGCCGTGCCTTCAGCCACTATGCTCCGAGGCTCTGGAATTCCCTTCCTCACTCCCTTCACCTCACTCCCTCTCTTCCTATTTTCAGGTCCCTACTGAAGACCTTTCTTTTCGACCGTGCCTTTGGTCACCTTCCTGCCCCTCCCCCTGACTCGGCCCCGGGATTCATTACTGTGAAGCGCTCTGAGACACCATCCGCCGTGAAGGCCGCTATATAAATCCACGTTGTTGTTGTTGTGTGAAAACATTTCTCCTCACCTCTCCTCTGTTTCTTTTAACAACTATTTTAAATCGGTGTCCTTGGGTTACCGACCCACCCATCAGTGGAAATACTTTCTCCTTGTTCACCCTATCGAATCCCCTCATAATTTTTAAAACTTTAATTTTGAGACTTCCATTAAGTCTCCTCTTAACCTTCTCTGCTCCAAGGAGAATAATCCTAGCTTCTCTAGCCTCTCCTGATAACTGATGTCCCTCATTCCTGGTACCATCCTGGTAAATCTCCTTTGCACCCTCTCCAATGCCTTGCCATCCTTCCTGAAGTGTGGTGCCCAGAACTGAACACAGTCTCTAGCCGAGATCTAACCAGTGTTGTATAAAGGTTCATCATAACTTCCTGACTTTTGTATTCTATGCTCCTATTTATGAAGCTTTGTATCCCATATGGATTTTTAACAGCTTTATCTACCTGTCCTGCCACCTTCAACCCCCAGGTCTCGCTGGTCCTTCACCCCCTCACTTGCCCAAATGAACAAAGCACTATGTAATTTCTATAGTCACCCTCTCAGATTTGCAGGCCAATCATTAATAAACAGCTTTTAATACAGCTCATAAAATGTTGAATGAGATTAACAAATAATCCCAGGATAATACTATCAGATAGACCAGGAAAAGAGTTTATGGTTGTGAAGAGCAAATTTAGGACAGACACCGGGAAATATTTATTTATACCGAGGTTAATCAACAGCTGGAATAAAGCGCTCTGAGACTCCGTCCAGCGTGGAGGACGCTATATAAATCCAAATTGTTATTGTTGTTGTTGTTGTTGTTGGAATGGGTGCCAATAAGGATTGTTGAGGTTAAGTCTCTGGACTCATTTAATATTAATATTCCTTGCATTTGAAATAGCATTTCATCACATAATCAAAATGTCTCAAAGTGCCTCACAGGATTTATTGGAGAGTGTAGTGATTGTGTGTTTTGTAGGCAAAAGTAGTAGCCGATTTGCACACTGCAATGTCTCAGAAACAGTTGTGAAGTGAAAGACCAATATTTATCTGGGGGATTGTTGGCCAGGACACTGTTGTAATGGGAAGACAAACATTGGAATTCTGGAAGCAGGAGAACAAATGGTCCAAAGGATCTCTGTTGTCCCCCTGAAAAGACCTCAGTTCCACAACTCATTCAATGGTAGACACTCCGTCAGAGCAGGACTATCTGAAGTGTCAGACTGGAATAGGTGTTGCAATTTATGTGTTCTAGGATCCTAAACCCTGGTGTGAGTCTTGTACTCACACAGACCTCAACCAAGATGCAAGAATGCTACCGGCTGAGCCAAACTGACAGCTTCAATATAAATGTGAAAATGCAAATTATGGTCGCTCGCAGAAGCATTTGAATAAAAAGACATGCTCGCTCCTTGCGAGATTGAATGACTCTCTAATGTATTAAACGTTGCACTGTGTTTGCTGTCTGCGTACCTGTCTTGTGACAATATCAGAGACGTGAGTGTTGAAGTCAGCAGTCCCACAGCTCCTGTCAGTGCAACCCAAGGACTTTGCAGAATGAGAGCCATTAATATTGTCATCCCACTGAGTGGGTTATTGACAAAAATCACCTGGGAAACACCACGTAGATTCCATTCGAGAAGCTGCACGCCAAAAGGCTGAGCTGAAATATAACCAAACACAGGGAGATCAGAGTGATTGTCATTTGGTATAGGTAGTGCATTATGGCAATACATCAAAGGAAATACGCAGCAACTGGGGAGAAATTCTATCAGTGTCTAGATTTATTCTATTTTTGTAGCATTTTAGAGTGTTGACACCATCGGCAATTGGGCCTTCAGCCTTTCCGCTCCCACCCTTTGGAACTCCATCCTACAGTCCCTGCCCCTCGCTCCCTCAAGGCACATCTCAAGACCCTCCTCTTCGACCTTGCCTTCAGTCACCCTCCTACCCGTACTCTCCCTGCCCTTCACCCTTCCTGATCCCAACCCCCAGCTCAAGTCCAATTTCCCAACTGTCCAGTGCCTTGGGACATCCTCCCAACGTGAAAGACTCTATACAAATGTGATTTGTTGTTGTCGAGAATTTTGCAAATGTTGAACACAGCCTCAATTTTGAAGCCGTAAGTTTATTTGAACTGTAGAAAAATGATTTCAAAGTTAAGGCTGAATTCAACACTTTACTCAATTCTGGGCACTCTACAATATTACACAGAGTAAATCTAGACTCCTTTTAAATTTCTTTGGATAACTAACCTGGAGTGAAGTTACTGGACGGTATTGAGTTGAGTCGATACTATTTAGTGACCATGTCTTCTGTCAGTAAAATTTATTTCCGCACCTCTAAAGATGGCTGTAGGGAGTGAAAGTATTGACCCAACGCCCGATTTTTTAAATATTAGGTGGTGATAGGGTCCTAGGAGTCCTGTAGCTCAGTGGTTAGAGCACTCGCTTTGCAAGTGAGAGATCTGAGTTCAATTCCAGGCAGGGCGAAACCTTGGGCAAGTTTCCTTACTCCACACAGAGCCTAATAATAATCCCTCCAAAAAACCCAAAACAATAATTAAATTGGTCATTTTCAATCTACGACTGTTTGTGGGACATTGCTGTGCGCAATTGGCTGCCGCGTTCGCCCACAAATATACAGTCAATTCACTTTACAGTGTGTTCTGTGAAGCGCTTTGGGACGTCCTCCTGACGTGAAAAGCGCTATATCAAATGCAAGGATTATTATTATTATTATTATTATAGGGTCAGGTAGAGGTTAACCTTAATCATCCAGCAACAATTAAAGCAGAAACCTGGCTGAGCTCAGATATAGCTTGTTCTGTTGTCAGGGGTAACAGGACTCCAGCACAGTGTTGAATTGTCATTTCGTGGGGATCCACAAGTAAGATGTTTCATGTCTTGCAACCTGGCCCGAACATCCTGCTCAGGATATTCATTTCCTCACTGTCAGCGGGACTGGCAAGCAAATGTTCTCTGTATTGCCAGATAGTGTCAGGCAGCACAAGGGGACATGGGCTCAGGCTCAGAAGGCGGAAGGTGAACAGACAGCTTGTATTCAACTCCCTTAGAGGTGAAAATGTGGAATGGACTACTCGGGACGTCAGGGGAGGAGGATCATGAAGGAATTAGATGGTTATTTGGTGAAGAAATCACTTGAGAGATTGAGTTGTTCCCTTTATTTTTATTTGCACACAGCATGATTCCCACAAACATTCATGAAGTGAATGGCCTTGTGGCCTTCCTTGCCTCCTTCAAGGCCCATCTCAAGACAGCCGTGCCTTCGGTTACCTTCCCTCCTCCAAGCCTCAATTCGGCAAATTCTTAAACACATTCTAAACTTTGAAGACAGTTTGCGTAAGTTTTTTTTAAGAAAGCAGAAAATTGACTTCAAAGATAAGATAGAATTCAACAATTTGCAAAGCACGCTGAAATGCTGTGTTAATAGAGTAAATTAATTTCTCCTCACATATGTCCATTATAAAAATCTAATAGAATACATTAATTTAGGTCCTCAACGAATATTGCAAAAGAAAATAACATTATCACATTTTCTTTTCTCTGCGTGTTTTTTCAGAGCATCCTCTAAATGTTAGGTTATGTAACATAAAGCAATTAGCTACTCTGCTCTCTCTCTCTCTATTTTTCTCTCTCACTCCCCCTCCAACTACCTCCACTGACCCTTTTTTTCTTAAGCTTTCTAAATGCGCTTGTGCCAAGCAGCTTTCATCAACAGAACGGACAAGCAGACCATCTGTTGCCTAGCCTCCGTCTCTGCTGTTCTGAATCAGAAAGGATCTGATTTTATCTGCCTCTCTCTGGGGAAACACTTTGCCTTTTCTTGGCACCCCCCCATTACCTGAAATTGAGAGCTCACCAATGCTAGGCACTGCGGTGTACAAACCCATGCCCTCCGATCCAGAGAGCAGTGTATTAATGTGCCATCACGCAGGTGGTAGTAACTGAAAACTGCATTCAAGTCAGAGGTTAGGTGTAAAACGTTGGTATTCACGATTACTGTGAACTTTGATGCGTCCTGGCATAGTTGTAGGACATTGAAATCCAGTTACAATTCAACCTGACAATAACAAAGACTTTTATTATCAACACCTACTGGCTCAGATCCAGTAAAACTCCTGCTGAAAAACAAGCAAAGCCTGGCACACAAAATAATGTGCCTTCAGATCCCATACCATAATAATGAAGCTTGCACCTGTGACGTGTAGTGAATGTGTATTTGTAAGTTAAAGAGGGCTATGATGTATGGCTGATAACAATTGCAACAACTTGTATTTATATGGTGCCATTCATCTAGGATGGAGTCTCAAAGTGCTGCACAGGATTTACTGTAAAGAGTAGTGTTTGTGTATCTGTAGGCGAATGCAGCAGCCAAATCGCAAACAACAATATCCCACAAATAGATCAAATAGGAAGTTAGAAGACATTTCTTCACACAGAAAGTAGTGGGAATGCGGAACATGCTACCATGAGGAGTTGTTGAGGCAAATAGCATAGATGTATTTAAGGGGAAGCTAGATAGGTACATGAGGGAGAAAGGAATAGAAGGTTATGCTTGAAAGCTTAGCTGAGGAAAGGCAGGAGGAGGGTTATGTGGAGTATAAATACCGGCATAGACCAGTTGGTCTGAATGGCCTGTTTCTGTGCTGTATATTCTAATGTATTATAATGTATAAACAGTTATGAGTGAATGACCCATTTCATACTGCGGATTAAAGAACAGAAAACCGGGAGAAATTCCCTTCTCTTTTTGCCATGGGACCTTTAACTGAGCCAGGCTGTGCAATGACCAACAATAATTTGGATATAATTAGATTTCTACATTACATGCATGACATAACAGGATTGACTTCAGCAATACGTTACTTTGGATTTAACCAGATATATAATTATTATAGCAGTACAGTACTTACTAAATCAGGAGCAAATTACATTTTTCCTGAGTCAAGTTTGCAACTCTATAGAATGGACTGTACTCTAGGGTTTCTTGTTTCTATATGAAGGCAGCTCCTGTCATTTGACAAATTTGAGGAATCTTAGACAATGTTATGAAACTAAACTGCTTCACAAGAATAATCCCACCGCCCATTGAGCTCAAAAAAACCAAAGAATAATGGTATTCACAGATTATTATAAAATTACCAGTGACACCTTTTATTACCTATAATTAGAGCTAACCAAGTGAGGAATTGCATTGAAAACTTACATTCTACAATCTAGGGAGTATAAATGCGCTGTCACACAGATAGTAAATAATAATAATTTGCATTTATACAGCACCTTTGAAATTAAAAAAAACTCAAAGCATTTCACAAAATATAATTGATCGAAGGTTGTTACATAGGCAACTTGGATAGCTAATTTGTACCATTGAAAAACAGTGAGATGATAAGACAATTAATTAGAATTTGCAGGTAAATTTGGATTTGGAGGGAAATACACGTCAGAAAACTTTGCATTTCTTTGAAATACCAACTGCAGAGTGGTCCATTCAAGTCTACCTGAATCATAGGACAGAGGCAAATTAACATTAGCAACCATCACAGAATCAGATGATCATGTGGTGATCTGTGCGTTCGCCCACAATGCATACAGTCATTACACCTTTACTGTATATGCAGCAAAGCGCCTTGAGACATCCTCCCAACATGAAAGGCACTACATGGAAATTTATGGATTATTATTTGTAATATCTCTGAACAGAAATGTCATTGTTGTACTTTGATTATTTTCCAGTACACACAACATTCTCGGTCAGGAAAAGTTGTTTGCTTCGAGAAATCAACTGCACAGTTTCTGACACATTACAACGTCTTTCCCACTTGGATGTGTTGGGAATTTCAATTATTTTCCTTAGAAAATTGGATCATGTTTGGCAGCTTTTAGTGGGAGCTTAATGTGCTCAAAGTATAAATTGGACTTGCAAACCTCTACATCTTACCTTGAATCCATTTCCCAAACTCTTTCATATTACCAGTGAAGTAAACCAAACGCTTTCCAACTGTGTCTTTCATTTTGACTATTCGGTGTTGTCACGGTTCTCACAATATGGACAGATAGCTGTAGACTACTGAGCAATGTAAGAGTCTGGAGCTTGCTTCATTCGCAGGAGTTAATATAGTGTAATCATTACAATCACTGTAGAAGTCATGAAGAATTTAAATGATGTGGTTAAAGATCGAAAAAGCTGCATAACTGAAAAACACCAGTGGGTATAAAAACAATATTCCAGTGATTGCCATATTACAAAATGAGTTTTAATAATAATAATAATAATCCTTGCATTTGATATAGCGCTTTTCACGTCGGGAGCGCTTCACAGAACACACTGTAAGGTGAATTGACTGTATATTTGTGGGCGAACGCGGCAGCCAATTGCGCACAGCAATGTCCCACAAACAGTCGTAGATTGAAAATGACCAATTTATTATTGTTTTTGGTTTTGGAGGGATTATTATTAGGCTCTGTGTGGAGTAAGGAAACTTGCCCAAGGTTTCGCCCTCTGCCTGGAATTGAACTCAGGTCTCTCGCTTGCAAAACGAGTGCTCTAACCACTGAGCTACAGGACTCCACAACAGTTAACAGTTTAATGCTAAAAGACAACAACAGATTATATTTGTATAAAGCCTTTTACATCTAGAGGATGTCCCAAAGTGCTGGACAGTCAAGATGTGCACTGAGCAGGGGGTTGGGATTAGTAGGGGTGGAGGGCAGGGAGGGTAGGGGTAGGAGGGTGACCGAAGGTGCAGTCGAAGAGAAGGGTCTTGAGACTGGACTTGAAGGAGGCAAGGGGGGGGATTGAGGCGATGGGACTGTGGGATGGAATTCCAAAGGGTGGGGGCAGAAAGGCTGAAGGCCTGACCACCAATGGCAGACCCAATGAAATTCATTTCTTTATCAGCTAGGAGACAAGAATACACAAATATTACAAAGCAAATGAATAAATCCCAAGGGTATGATTCAAATATACATCCATCTGGCATTGCTCATTTGTGAGTCCTCTGGTTAGCTTTGCTCAGCTGGTAACATTCACAGACACTCCATTACTGTGCTGGGAGAGCACTGCATTATAGGAAGTGCTATTCTTTGGATGAGATATTGAACCAATATCTGCCTGAACATCTGCCTGTTCCGGTGACACTATTCAAGCAGAGAAGAGAATTTCTACTGGTTTCATTGGCCAGCAATCCCTAACTAAAATTGGTCATTCACGTTATGCTTGTGGTATATTGCTGTGCACAAATTGGCTGTGTGTTTGCCTACAAATACCCAGTCATTGCACCTTGTAGTAAATCCTATGAATAACATGACCTTGTGAATAATATAAGGAAGATAGATAACATTCAAAACTCCGTGAACTACATACAAAAAAGCCAATAAATGACAGAAGAATTTTAATATTGACAGTAACATGTGAATACAAAATAGAACAAAAGCAGAAAAGATGTGCATAGAGTAATGTGGTGTCCACTGGTAAGGTTTGAGATGGAAATGATCCTGATGTGATCATTGATCATTGACTGAGGATTTCCAGTCTGTGTGAGCTCACTATTGAGAAAGCTATTAAAAATAGTAAATTACATCTTGAGGGCCATTGATTATAAATCCAACAACATTATTCTAAGTGGGGCTTGGAACTCTTCCATGCTTTGAAATTTACTTCAGTGATTATTCATTGTGAGACTACAAAAGACTACAGGATTGCCTCCAAATTACAGTCACTGCACTTGCAGTAGATTCTTTGAAGCACTTTTGAGACATCCTCGTGAGTGGAGGGAGGTACTTTGTCAAATGTAAGGATTATTATAAACTTTTATCCAATGTTGCCTTAGAAGTAAGAGGGGTTGTGACACTGGAGACTTATCCCCCCCACCCCATCAGTCTGTCTAAAAGAATAAACCATCTGTGAAGGGATGGCTTATTCTGTGGTTCTCCATCGATCCTTGTGAAGATTAGAGATTTCTTTTGACTTGTAACTGTTTCCTGCAGACACATAACCACAATTGGATTTGGTCGATGCGATTAGCAAGTTGAGGTTTATATATTCCAGGGTCTGAAGTTTTATATATTCAAGCGCTCTGTGACGTTACCCTGGATGAGAGGCGCTATATAAATGCAAGTTGTTGAACTGTGGAATTTTATATAGTCTCGGGTCTGATCTGCGGACTGAAAAGGCACGTCCACCCCAATGTGGAGTGATTCTGAACAGAAATGCAAAAAGGGATGACTGGTCTGTCTGCAAGTGTTAGGAACAGAAGAAGCAAGTCAGTTTCGCAAAGACAAACAATTTCTATGTCTAGGTTTAAATCTCCAATCTTGAAGAACTATGATGTTTTACTATAAGGATTTTGAATCAGATTTCTGGTAATCTTGGGCTCTTTTTCATTCTAAAGTAAACACATCCTTTTTGAATAGTCTGAAAAAAAATACTATGAGGAAGTCTCATTCAATTCTGCACATTTAATGTGTCTGCCAAGGTCTTAGCTTAGAATTACAGCACAATACAGTTTACATTTATATAGTGCCTTAAATGTCAAGAGGATGTCTCAAAGAGCTTCCCACTGATGGCTAGGCACTTGAGCTAGAGGGGATGGGGGGGGGGGGGGGGAAGTTGAAGAGGGTTAAATTCTGATTGAACTGGAGTCAGGAAAAATCAGTGAGGGTTGTTGAAACCTGAATTTGTGACAGCATTTTAATTTTTAAGGGTAACTACGGTGTTCCTTTCTGTTACATTACTTGGGTGTTGTGCCTCAAAGCAAGGGATTTCAAGTCACTCCTGGGTGTATCTTGTCGGAGTCCTGTAGCTCAGTGGTTAGAGCACTCGCCTTGCAAGCAAGAGACCTGGGTTTGATTCCCGGCAGGGCGAAACCTTGGGCAAGTTTCCTTACTCCACAAGGCTGACAATAATCCCTCAAGACAAAAAAAAATAAAATAAGTCACTTCAATCCACGCTGTGCGCAATTGGCTGCTGCGTTTCACCCACAAATATACAGTCAATTCACTCACAGTATATTCTGTGAAATGCTTTGAGATGTCCAGAAGACATGAATTATTATATTATTATTATCTTGCTACATCTTAACTTCATTGTATTCAAATCAAAATAGCAGAATTCCATGTGCCATCCACACTTGTTTTCTTAATTTGTTCTATTTTCTAAAAACTTGAAAATAAAATCTATTCCTCTGTGCGAAAATATTCTGGTATTCAGTGCTTCACATCTGAAGTGTGGAATAATAATCCTTGCATTGCATTTGATACAGCGCCTTATCACGTCTTCAAGACATCTCAAAGTGCTTCACAGAATATACGATAAAGTGAATTGACTGCATACTTTGTGGGCGAAATGCAACAGCCAATTGCGCACAGCAGCGTCCCACAAACAGTCGTGGATTGACTGTTAAAGTTAAGAATTCATTAGCATTAAGTACTTTATGGATAGCTTCATAATATCTGCATACATAATCTCTTTTTTGGGGTTTGTTTTTTGAACTGCGAAGCATGTTCCCAGTGGCATTTGATGGATTGCAGTGAGCAGTGTTGCATCCTAATGTAAAACAACAGGTCCTAGACAGACCTACTACTAATTAGTTTAGCATCTACTGAGATATGGAAGCTTTTATTTGATTTGTCACACTGTGAAACCAGGCTGTCTGTCTCCTGAAATTAGCACTGGAATCATGGAATGGTTCAGTTATAAATCATAATGGTAATGTCTCCTGTGGGGCAATATCTAGTCTTAGGTATTCACAAAACTCCTTTAAACACCCACTTTACTTCTTCTGCTGTGTTTAAAATTGTTTGATGAGTTTTTTTTCCAGTTATATCTGTATTTCTGTTATCTAACGTAAACACATTCATTTTGAATTGACTGAAATAAATACTTTGAGAAAGTATCACTTAATCCAGCTCACTGGAATGTGGGTGCTCCACATTGTTGGGCACTCTGAGGCGCTATCCCAGTTGAAGGATGGTTTATGAATGCAATTTGTTATTTTTATGTGTGCCTTTTTTCCTTTTACCTTGCCATTTCCCGTCTGTGTTTTTACACTAAGACTGCTTCCTTTACTAGGGCAAAGTAGTTGCATCTACTGCTTGGTTGCTTTATATATAAAGAAACCATCATACATGCCTTCATTACATCGAGGCTCGACTGTGCAAACTCACTGCTTGTCGGCCTCCCCAATTCCTCCCTCCACAGGCTGCGGATCATCCAGATCTCTGCAGCCCATGTCCTCTCCCGCACTAAGTTCCATGACCCTATCAACCCCATCCTTGCCTAACTCCACTGGCTTCCCATCACATAGAGGATACAGTTCAAGATCCTGGTCCTCACCTTCAAAGCCCTCCATGGTCTTGCTCCCCCCTACCTCTCCGACCTCCTATTCCCCTACCACCATGTTCAGTCCCTTCGCTCAGCGGGCTCCGACCTATTTCACGTCCCCCGCCTTGCTTGACCCACTATCGACGGGCTTTTCGCTACTCTGCACCCACCCTCTGGAACTCCATCCCGCAGTCCCTCCGTCTCGCCCCCTCCGTCACCACCTCAAGAGCCACCTCAAGACCCTCCTCTTCGACCATGGTTTCGATCTCCCTGCTTCCCCCCATGCCCTCCCCCTCCCGCAACTCCACCCTCAGCTCGGGTCCGTAACTCTGTCTGTCCAGCACCTTGGGACTTTCTCCCGATGTGAAAGGCGCTATACAAATGTAATTTTGTTGTTGTTGTTGTTGTTGTTAGAGCACTATCAGTGCCACGCTTACTTCAGGCATTAGGAGATATTAAGGTAAAATGCATTGCTTCCTTCAATTGTCCCTCTGTTCTTTTGCTGCTCCTCCTGATTGTGTGTGACACACTGCGCTTAACGTACAGCATCACATGCCTGCCGTTTTCTTCTCAGTTCTTAAACATTTATCATTCAGGGAAGGTAATGAGGGGATGATGGATGTTAGGATTCCTTCTCTCCCATTGCACTCCAGCTTGTAACATGGACTCATCACCTAAACTGAATAAATTGTACATGCTTGGTTTAAAAGTTCAATTACACTCCCACCGCACACATTGGCATTTC